TAGAGTGGCGCAAAGTCATATTTATAAGGATTATTAGACAAGCGCAAACTTATATTTATTACATGAATTAGAGTTGCGCAAAGCCATATTTTTAATGTTTATTAAAATGGCGCAAACCAGTATTTATTACATCAATTAGAGTGGCGCAAAGTCATATTTATAAGGATTATTAGACAAGCGCAAACCAGTATTTATTACATCAATTAGAGTGGCGCAAAGCCATATTTTTAAGGTTTTTTAGACTGGCGCAAACTTATATTTATGAGGTCAAATAGAGTGGCGCAAAGCTATATTTTTAAGGTTTATTAGACAAGCGCAAACCAGTATTTTTTACATCAATTAGAGTGGCGCAAAGCCATAAATTAAATGTTTATTAAAATGGCGCAAACCCGTATTTATTACATCAATTAGAGTGGCGCAAAGCCATATTTTTAAGGTTTATTAGACAAGCGCAAACCAGTATTTATTACATCAATTAGAGTGGCGCAAAGTCATATTTATAAGGTTTTTTAGACTGGCGCAAACTTATATTTATGAGGTCAAATAGAGTGGCGCAAAGAGATATTTTTAAGGTTTATTAGACAAGCGCAAACCAGCATTTATTACATCAATTAGAGTGGCGCAAAGCCATATTTATAAGGATTATTAGACAAGCGCAAACTTATATTTATGAAGTCAAATAGAGTGGCACAAAGCTATATTTTTAAGGTTTATTAGACAAGCGCAAACCAGTATTTATTATATCAATTAGAGTGGCGCAAAGCTATATTTTTAAGGTTTATTAGACAAGCGCAAATCAGTATTTGTTACATCAATTAGAGTGGCGCAAAGTCATATTTATAAGGATTATTAGACAAGCGCAAACCAGTATTTGTTACATCAATTAGAGTGGCGCAAAGTCATATTTATTAGGATTATTAGACAAGCGCAAACCAGTATTTATTACATGAATTAGAGTTACGCAAAGCCATATTTTTAAGGTTTTTTAGACTGGCGCAAACTTATATTTATGAGGTCAAATAGAGTGGCGCAAAGCTATATTTTTAAGGTTTATTAGACAAGCGCAAACCAGTATTTTTTACATCAATTAGAGTGGTGCAAAGCTATATTTTTAAGGTTTATTAGACAAGCGCAAACCAGTATTTATTACATCAATTAGAGTGGCGCAAAGTCATATTTATAAGGATTATTAGACAAGCGCAAACCAGTATTTATAACATCAATTAGAGTGGCGCAAAGCCATATTTTTAAGGTTTATTAGACAAGCGCAAACCAGTATTTATTACATCAATTAGAGTGGCGCAAAGTCATATTTATAAGGATTATTAGACAAGCGCAAACCAGTATTTATATTATCAATTAGAGTGGCGCATAGCCATATTTTTAAGGTTTATTACACAAGCGCAAACCAGTATTTATTACATCAATTAGAGTGGAGAAAAGTCATATTTATAAGGTTTTTTAGACTGGCGCAAACTTATATTTATGAGGTCAAATAGAGTGGCGCAAAGACATATTTTTAAGGTTTATTAGACAAGCGCAAACCAGTATTTGTTACCTCAATTAGAGTGGCGCAAAGTCATATTTATTAGGATTATTAGACAAGCGCAAACCAGTATTTATTACATCAATTAGAGTGGCGCAAAGTCATATTTATAAGGTTTTTTAGACTGGCGCAAACTTATATTTATGAGGTCAAATAGAGTGGCGCAAAGCTATATTTTTAAGGTTTATTAGACAAGCGCAAACCAGTATTTATTACATCAATTAGAGTGGCGCAAAGTCATATTTATAAGGATTATTAGACAAGCGCAAACCAGTATTTATAACATCAATTAGAGTGGCGCAAAGTCATATTTATAAGGTTTTTTAGACTGGCGCAAACTTATATTTATGAGGTCAAATAGAGTGGCGCAAAGCTATATTTTTAAGGTTTATTAGACAAGCGCAAACCAGTATTTATTACATCAATTAGAGTGGCGCAAAGTCATATTTATAAGGATTATTAGACAAGCGAAAACCAGTATTTGTTACATCAATTAGAGTGGCGCAAAGCCATATTTATAAGGATTAATAGACAAGCGCAAACTTATATTTATTACATGAATTAGAGTTGCGCAAAGCCATATTTTTAATGTTTATTAAAATGGCGCAAACCAGTATTTATTACATCAATTAGAGTGGCGCAAAGTCATATTTATAAGGATTATTAGACAAGCGCAAACCAGTATTTATTACATCAATTAGAGTGGCGCAAAGCCATATTTTTAAGGTTTTTTAGACTGGCGCAAACTTATATTTATGAGGTCAAAGAGAGTGGCGCAAAGCTATATTTTTAAGGTTTATTAGACAAGCGCAAACCAGTATTTTTTACATCAATTAGAGTGGCGCAAAGCCATATTTTTAATGTTTATTAAAATGGCGCAAACCAGTATTTATTACATCAATTAGAGTGGCGCAAAGCCATATTTTTAAGGCTTATTAGACAAGCGCAAACCAGTATTTATTACATCAATTAGAGTGGCGCAAAGCCATATTTTTAAGGTTTTTTAGACTGGCGCAAACCAGTATTTATTACATCAATTAGAGTGGCGCAAAGTCATATTTATAAGGATTATTAGACAAGCGCAAACTTATATTTATTACATCAATTAGAGTGGCGCAAAGCCATATTTTTAAGGTTTTTAAGACTGGCGCAAACTTTTATTTATGAGGTCAAATAGAGTGGCGCAAAGCTATATTTTTAAGGTTTATTAGACAAGCGCAAACCAGTATTTGTTACATCAATTAGAGTGGCGCAAAATCATATTTATAAGGATTATTAGACAAGCGCAAACCAGTATTTATTACATCAATTAGAGTGGCGCAAAGCCATATTTTTAATGTTTATTAGACAGGCGCAAACCAGTATTTATTACATCAATTAGAGTGGCGCAAAGTCATATTTATAAGGTTTTTTAGACTGGCGCAAACTTATATTTATGAGGTCAAATAGAGTGGCGCTACATTGAGACGTGTTATGTCGTATAGTGAATTAGACGATAGAAGTGTTGATCCACAATCCGAAATCTATACAAATCCGAGACGTGAAAACAATGATGACGACCAAAGCTTAGTTGACCGAAGCTCAATTGGACAACCTAAATATGACAATGGCTTATGGACTTTTATACTAAACTTATTCAAGACTTTAATAATGATTTTAATACTATTTGGAGTGAACACACTAATATATTCAACAATTACTTAGAATTAGACTCCTATGATAACGATCAATTCATTTTATTCAATACATCGCAAAACAACTCAATTGATAGCATAACAATAGAAACTGAAGACATCAGTGAAATAAATACTGTTATACATTTATTTGCATTCAAGCCTTCGGACATAATTACGGCCAAAGGTATTGAACACATTATCGACACTGGAGATGCACAACCAATAAAATTACGCAACTATCCATCGGCTATTAAATTAAAAGAAGAAATTAATAAATATGTCACTGAAATGCTAGAAAGTAATGTAATAAGTGAATCAGTTAGCCCGTGGAATAATCCAGTATTAATGGTACCACAAAAAGACAAAATGCGATTTTGTTTAGACTACCGTAAACTTAATACCGTAACAAAAGTTGACGTATTTCCAATACCTATTATTCAAGATCTCGTAGACCAAATGGAGGGAAAGTCAATATTTTCAACTTTTGACTTGAAATCTGGTTTCTGGCAAATAAAGGTACGCGAAGAAGATAAAGAAAAAACAGCATTTACAGCAGACAACAATCGATACCAATTCAATGTTATGCCTTTTGGACTCTGTAATGCGCCATCAACTTTTCAAAGATATATGCAAAATGTACTAAATGGATTATTATATAAATTTATGACATAGAGGATATAGATGATATAGATGACATTATTGTATATTCATACAACTTTGACGATCACATTAATCATATACGTCAAGTGTTTAACCGATTAAACGAATATGATTTACGCTTACATCCAGAAAAATGTAAATTAATATGCAATCAAATAGAAATGTTAGGCTTTGTTGTCGGACGTAACGGTTTTCTTCCTAACCCAGAAAGGGTTCGGGCAATGAAAGACTTCCCGAGGCCTAATAAAGTAAAAGACATACAATCATTTTTATGATCAGCAAATTACTACAGACGATTTATTGAAAACTTTTCAAAAATAGTAAGACCGCTAACTAATTTAACTAAAAAAGATGTCAGACATATGGTCAGACGAGTGTCAACAAGCGTTTGACACAATCATTGAAAAATTAACTTCACCGCCCATTATGGCTCATCCACGAGAAGATGAACCATATATCTTATATACAGATGCAAGTGGATATGGAGTCGGTGCTACACTTTGTCAAATACATGATGGACTTGAAAGAGTCATTGCTTACAGTAGCTGTACCTTCAATAAAGCACAACAAAACTACTCAACTTCGGAGAAAGAGTGCTATGCTATTGTATGGGCTGTCGAAAAGTTCCATAAATATCTCTATAAATGTAAAGTGACAGTGAAAACAGATCACTGTGACTTATGTTATTTGTTAAAAATTAAAGACCCTAATGGACGTCTAATGAGATGGTGTAATAGATTACAACCATATATTAATAATATGACAATTGAATACAAAAGTAGAAAAACTCACACAAACGTAGACCCGCTTTCAAGATACCCATTAGCTGATGAAGCTAAAGTTGATGAAAATATTCAATTTTATAACATTAATCACATAGAAGTTAACATATCTGAAGAACAACAAATTGACCCGTGGTGTCAATCAAAACTTTGATTAATTTGCCGAACAAGGAAACAAATAAATACATATTGGAAAACAACATTTTGTATTTTAAAATAAAAACAATTAATAACACTATAAACAAATTAGTTTGTTTGCCACATAGTTTATTAAAAGATACACTTTATTCATTACATAATGATGTTACTGCTGGACATCTAGGACGTAATAAAACAATGGCTAAAATTAAACATCGATTTTACTTTCCCGATATGAATAACATTATCAAAAAATACGTTAAAGCATGTAAAGACTGTCAATCAAGAAAGCATGATTATGGTTTACCAAAAGGAGGACTAACACCAATCGAATCAACCGAACCGTTTCAAATTATTGGAATGGATTTCTTAGGTCCATTGGTTAAATCAAATAATGGTAACAAATAATGTGTTGTCTAACAGATCGCGGAACTCAATTCTGTTCAGATTTAGCTGAAAGAATATATGAGATAATGCATACAAAACACATCAAGACATCACCATACCATCCACAGTGTAATGGACTTGCAGAGAAACAGTGTAAAACAATTACAGATATGCTATCACTTTATTGTAATCAAAATCAAAAGATTGGGATATATTTATTAACTATCTAGTATTTGCATACAATACCGCTAAACAAGAATCTACAAGAAATAGTCCATTTTATTTACTTTATGGAAGACATCCCCGACTTCCAATTGATAATGTATTAAATTTATCATCTAGTTTTGATGATACAAAAGAAGTTCAAATAAGATTTCAAGAGGCCAGAGTTATGGTCAAAGAGTTCATTAAAGATGCACAAGCAAGACAAAAAAGAAATTATGATAAAAATCACCGGTTTATTGAATTTAATATTGGCGCCAAGGTTTTGTTATACCGCAAGAGACGTGTGCGAGGACTTAGCGAGAAATTGATCAATAATTTCTACGAAGTTATTGAGAAATTTAATAACGCTTATACAATCAAAGACATCTATTCGGCAGTCTAAGATTCATTCTAAAACCGCTAATAAATTCTTACTATATTCTTACTATATTCTTACTATATACAGAACAAGAGCTGAACAAGAGATGAAAATCATAGACTAATTTGGGCTCAATTGGGCTGAATTGGGCTACAAATTTGTAATCAATTATTAGGTTTATTATGTGACAAATTAGTCTATCAATAGACAGAACAAGAGATGAACAAGAGATGAAAATCATAGACTAATTTGGGCTCAATTGGACTGAATTGGGCTACAAATTTGTAATCAATTATTAGGTTTATTATGTGACAAATTAGTCTATCAATAGACAGAACAAGAGATGAAAATCATAGACTAATTTGGGCTGAATTACAATTAATAAACAATTGTTGATAACATATTTATCATTAAAACTATCTTATACTGTAATCCATATACAAACTAATTAACTAATGTTTCTTGTAATGTAATTAATAATCAAATCAAAAAAAAATTGGATATCATTTTAAATTATTTTATTTAATAATCATAAATTTTTTTAATTAATTTTGTACACTAAATTCAAAACAATTCAACAAACTTACAATATATATATATATATATATATATATAATTAACATTTATTAAAATATTAAATTTTTATGTTATATAACTAAAAAATTGTATTGATAATTTTGTTAATTATTTTTATAAAATTAAATTCAATATTTAAAATAATATTTATATTTTGTTTAATTAGAAAAAATTTCTATAAATTTTTATTTAAATAAAATATTTATATTATTTAATTAAAACTCATTATACAATATTTTTTTAATAGTAATAAAACTGATTTTTATATTTAATTACATTTCATTGTCGATAATTATTTTAGAGCAATAAATTTATTGTCTATTTATAATATAATTTTTGTAAAATAAATATATATATTATTTTTTATTATAAAAAAAAACATTATTTTTATTATTATTTAATACAATACAGTATTAGATTTGATTAGTTTGTATGAGTATTACAGCATAGGATAGTATTAGCGATAAACATGTTATCAATGTTTGCCTATTGATTGCATACAAATTGAATGCCGTAAATGACATATCAGGGGACAGGGATTTCATTAGTAGTAGTATTGAATTATCGTTAATAGTTTGCTGGAGTAATGATTGACCAGTTTTTAGCGCCGATGAGGAACGCCGTCTATAGTCGCACTGCAAACGAAAACACATTTGCCTATAACTCGACGGTATTATATCGCACACATAGCTGACAACTAGTAGGACAACCAGATTTTCGACTAATGCACCGACAATATAGAGTATAACCGAATGGGTATTCATAAATAGGATGACCACTGCCGATATGGATCGGATAGATGTGATTATGAGAACCGATAGCAAGTATGGCGAACATAGGTTGTCCAGTTGTTTGACAAAATTACAACAATCTATGGAAAACTCGTAGACAGTGGTCAGGGATAGTGGGTTGGGTTGACCAGCAATAGTGTCGGCAGAAATCTGGCGGAACTGGTGTCTGATAAGTAGACTTTTGTAGCCAATACAAGCTATGATAGCTAACTGGGTGTTTGTCGACAACAGATACATAACTGGTGTTACAATAATATGGTAATAATTTTTATGGGAGGCGTCGACTGCACGCCTAAAGTGATCGATACCGTAGATGACTTGTAGGCCGAATGCTATCAGGAATGTCATCACTAATACTAATATAGCTATTCTGGGCTCCGGGTTGTTGTTGGTGTTGGTATAGGTGTTGTGTTGACCAGTAGTACTGACAATGAATCGGTTAGTTGTCGACTGTTTCAATAGATCGACGATAGACTGTCCGCGAAACAGTAGCAACAGGCTTACCATTGCCAACTGTACGGTATAGCCCAGATGACCGAAAACAAACAACAATTGCAGTAACTGTGACCTACCTGGGTCGGCACCGGGTGGTTTGTTGTTGTTGTTGTTGGTTAGGTTACCAAAAAATAGTACTGGTTTGGTGATGTGTGAGCTAATAGCACCGGCATGTTGTGTAAACTGGTAGATAATATAGAAAATATTTGCGAATAACTGTAACAGTAGCCACCATATGGCTGGCCTACCGGTTAGACTATGACCGAAATAGGTGTTTCCCGTTAGCTTGAAATAGTAGACTAAAATTTTTAGGCCTTTTTCTGGCATTTTATTTGTTTGATTAGTACTAAAATTATTATTATTATTATTCATTTTATTATTTAATTATTATACTATGATATATAAATTATTATGTTTTTTAATATATGTATTATTTAATGCAATTTGTTATACAAAATATATATATATTATTACTAATAAATATTTTTATTGATTAGGTTTTTGTTGTTATTTAATATGAATTTTTTTTTGAATAGTTTATTGAAAGTATATAATAGTGATAATAATAATAATAATAAAATTGTGTTTACATTTCATTATTAATTTATTTTATGGGTTTAATATTGACATTTCATTAACATTATTAGTGTTTTAATATAAAATATAATAAATAATATTGATTTTTTTTAGATCAGCATTAATAATATAATATTAAACTATTTAATCTTTAAAAAATATAACATTAGATTTATTATATATATTGTACATATTTATATACAGTATATATATTTATAGATATACATGTATGTGTCAATATTTATTTTGTTTGTATATAACAGTTTTATCAATAATTTATTTTTTTCAAATTCAATATTTTATTTGTCAAAAAATTATTATGGGATTATTAGTACAAATTACTAAAAATTATTAGATACTATTAATTTAATGATTGTTACAAAATGTAAAATTTTTTTTAAATATAAATCATAAATTATATATAATTTTTTAGAAAATAAATTTTTTAGTATACTTATTTATTTCAAGATTAAAAATAATTTATAATTTAAATATATATATATATATATATATAGAAGTTTATGTATGATATTTATAATTTTTTTTAAATTATAAATATCATACATAAACTTCTATATATATATAGAATATATACAACTGTACTTAACTGTACTTGTTAAATACTTGTAAATTTTTAACTTATCTACTAAAATAAAAAATAAAAAAAATATTAAACATTATAAAGAAAATTAATGATAATAAAATAAGAAAAATTGATATTTTTAAATAAAATATTAGTACAAATTAGTACATTTAGTTTATATATCATGATATATTTGAAATTTAGTTATCATTATTATTATTATTTTTATTACAGTATATTATTTGATTGTTATAAAAATACTATAACAATGATAAGTAATAATTTTTTGAGTATTATTTTTTGAGTACAAATTAGTGTATTTTTCTCAATACCTGTATTTTTAAAAAAATAAATCCTATAACAAATTTATTGGATGTATTTAATTAAAATATACTAATATATTAATTTTAAAAAATAATAAAATTAACGATGGTTATATTGAAATAATAAAATTACAGCTTATAGATTTTTATACATTTAAATAACTTTATTAATCTATTAATAGTTACAAATAATGTTGATATCATATATTTTTTTGTGATTGACATATTTTTCGAGAAATTTTATTATATATTTTTTTAATCAACATTATTTTGAAATGTGTTAATCCATAGATAATAATAATATTATTATTAACAAATATTTAATACAATTAAGACCCAATTTAAAAGATAATACAAACAAAGACTATAAATACAAAAAATAAAATTTAATAATTTTTATTTATTTAATATATTTATATATAAATAGTATATTAGTTTTTAAAGCAATATTATATTTTAAGATAATTATTTATATTAAATATGATTAATATTTTTAGTTTATTATTATTATTACTACTATTACTTGTAGTGATTAATAGTAATAATGTTAGCGCTGTTGATATTAATACAACATCGGGTGTCGTACGCGGACAGACCATTCATATACAAACTACACTATTGGACGCTAAGATTGATCAATGGTTAGGCATACCATATGCCGAACCACCTGTCGGTGACCTAAGGTTTACATATCCAGTGTCCTATAAATACAGAAAAGTAAGCTACCAGTGCTAGTGTGTGTATGTATGTATGTATGTGTGTGTGTATGTATGTATGTATGTATGTGTGTGTGTATGTATGTCTGTGTGTGTGTGTGTGTGTGTGTGTGTGTGTCTGTGTATGTGGTGTGTGTCTGCGTATATCTATATATGTGTATATTTGTGTGTGTGTATGTGTATATGTACTGTATATATATCTGTGGGTTAAAAACTAATATTATTACTATTACTATTAGGATATTATCGACACTACAAAACCTAAAAACTCTTGTATGCAAATATCAACACCCATTGAACACCGTATATATGGAAACCTGACGTTCAGTGAGGACTGTTTGTTCATCAATATATGGAGACAGACACCACCGTCTGAACACATTGACTCACCACTAAACCCGGTTATGTTTTGGATACACGGAGGCGGACTAAATACTGGTTCAATATTTTCCCGAACATACAACGGATCGGCACTGGCAGCACAGGGAGTAGTGGTTGTGTCGGTTAACTATCGGTTGGGAAAGTTAGGATTTATGTACGGCGCCAGTGATGAGGCACCGGGTAATGTCGGTCTATACGATCAACTGTTGGGTCTGAAATGGGTCAGAGATAATATACACAGGTTTGGTGGCGACAAAGATCGGGTGACAATTTTCGGACAGTCAGCCGGCAGTTGGTCAGTGATGTCGCACATACTGTCGCCACTGTCCAAAGGGTTGTTCCAGAGGGCTATTCTCGAAAGCGGTGCACTGATGTTCAATAAGGACAGGGATGTAATCAGCAAACAGGAGGCACTGCAAGCATCGCGTGAAATGGCCGATACATTAAACTGTACCGATGACGGACAATGGGTACAGTGTTTGCGTCGGGTATCGCCCGATGAGTTGCTCAAACATAACGGTTTTCTAACGCAACCGATATTTGATAGCCAATTCCTACCGTTTAGGACACAGTCGGCATTAGCTAAAAACCTATACAATTCAGGTAACAGACTATTTATAAGATTGTTTTTTTATTAAATAAAAAATTTTTTTTTGGGTCCCATATTAGACATTGATCTGTTGGCCGGTGTAACCGCCGACGAAGGTCAGGGACTATTGACTTCTCTAATCAATCCCAATGATACCGTTACGGCTGATGTATTCAAAATGTATGTCAAACTAGTGAATTCAGTGTTTCATAACATAGATGTGGAAACTGTTAGCGAGTTTTATTTGAAATCTATTAACCGAACCGATTCACGGGCACTGAAACATCGTTTCGGCGATTTGGCCGGCGATCTGATGCTCAAATGTCCCACTTATTTGTTTGCCAAACAACTGGCCAGACAGCGACAACCGGCAAACAATGTCTACTTCTATGAGCTGACCTATGCTAGCGATCTGTTTGAACGGCTAAACAATTGCGATCCAGTAGTCGATGGCGTATGCCATTCGGCGGACATACCGTTTGTCTTTGGACTACCCTATCTGTATCCGGAAGGCTATGAAAAAGAGGACTATTATTTTACCCGTTGGTCAATGAAATGGTGGACCGATTTTGTTAAAAATGGGTAATAATAATAAAAATGATATTTGATTTGAATTATTATAATAATTACAAAATAATTACATACCTAAGCATAATCTAACTAAAACTTTTTAAAAACAAATAATTTTACAAATATTTTATTTTTTCTTTATTTAAATTTATAGTGTACTGGACAACGATTGGGCTCAAATGTTGGGTCCGGGCAATGTGACCAAGGTAAAAAATTGGAACCCCCTGGACCTGACCAAAATTATGCAACACGTGTTTGACGACACGTGCGACGGTGTTTGGCAATCATATTATTTATAGATTTTTTTTATTTAACGTATAAAATAAATTATGAAATCTAACTAAAATATATTTAATAGTAATAATTATTATAAATTATAAAATTATAAGTATTTTCTATTAAATTATTTATTTAAAAAAATATTTATTTTTTGTTGTTGTAAATATTGATTAAATAATACTATTTTTCTATAATGATATAAAAGTTTAAAAATAATAATTTTTTTTTATAAATAATGTTCACAGATCAATTTACCTAACCTCCCTATCCTCAATGACCTATACTATACATTTAGTAAAATATATTTACATAGCACTTGACCTTAAAAACCTACCAGTTCCTAAATAATTAATCAAAATTTTCTATAAAAATAATATTTATTTTTATGAAATAAATTTAATTAATAATTATTTGCTAAACAAAGATATAATACTGTAAGAAAAAATTAATTTTTAAATAAAACTTTTAACATTTAAATATAACTTAAATAATCTAATAGTTTGTGATAAAATTTTTGCGATAAAAAAACTTATTATTATTAATATCTGTTTACTTAATAACTTGTTAGAAATGTTAATCTAATAGCTATTGTGAATAAGTATTTAATAAAATAATTAAAAGATAATACCAACAAATAAAAACTTATAAATATAAATGATTAAAAATTTTTATATTTATTTAGTATAATATAATATTATATTATATGAGATTTTTTAATGTTTCTTAAATATTTATATATATACCTAACTATGATTAATAATATTTTTAGTTTATTATTATTATCATTACTATTACTAATTGTTAGTAATAGTAATACTGTTAGCGGTGTTGATATTAATACAACATCGGGTGTCGTACGCGGACAGACCATTCATATACAGACCAGACTATTGGACGCTAAGATCGATCAATGGTTAGGCATACCATATGCCGAACCACCTGTCGGTGACCTGAGGTTTAGATATCCAGTGCCGTTCACTCAGAGTAAAGTAAGAGAGCTACCGGTGCTGATTGTATGCACACTTGTATAACAGCTTATACTGTATTATGCTTTAGGTTGTCATCGACGCTACCAAAGCTAAAAACTCATGTATTCAGACAACATCAGCGACGAAGCGCCGACTGTATGGTAATCTGACTTTCAGTGAGGACTGTCTGTTTTTGAATGTCTGGAGACAGTCGACAACATCACCGACAAAACAACAACAGGAGGCGTCCAGTTATGATGACGATGAGCTCAAACCGGTTATGTTTTGGATATACGGTGGCGGACTAAATACTGGATCGATATTTGCCCGTACATACAACGGTTCGGCACTGGCAGCACAGGGAGTAGTGGTAGTGTCGGTTAACTATAGGTTGGGAAAGTTTGGATTTATGTACGGCGGAAGCGAGGCACCGGCTAATGTCGGTCTATACGATCAACTATTGGGTCTCCAATGGGTCAGAGATAATATACACCGGTTTGGTGGTGACAAAGATCGGGTAACCATTTTTGGACAGTCAGCCGGCAGTTGGTCAGTGATGTCGCACATACTGTCGCCACTGTCCAAAGGGTTGTTTCAGAGGGCTATTCTCCAAAGCGGAGCACTACTGTTCAATAAGGCCAGGGATGTAATCAGCAAACAGGAGGCACTACAGGCATCACGCGAAATGGCCGATAGATTAAACTGTACCGATGATCGACAATGGATACAGTGTTTGCGTCGGGTATCGCCCGATGAGTTGCTCAAACATAACAGTTTTCTAACGCAACCGATATTTGATAGTCCATTCCTACCGTTTAGGACACAGTCGGCATTGGCTAATAAACTATACAATTCAGGTAACGTATTATTATTATTAGTAGTAGTAGTAGTGGTGTTTCCGACAATTTTCCTCCAATTGTATTATTATACTAAAAGTTCCCCTATGTTCCCTGTTCCCTGGGAATTTTCCAGGAAATTTATTTCCATGTGCTATCATACCTATTGATCTATAGACAACAATGTTTCATTAAACTAGTTTTTTGTGGGTCTAATTTGTAAAATAGTATAACAAACAAAAAATTCATTGAATTTATTTTTAAAACAAAATATTTCAACGAAATTTTTTGTAGAAAAAATATTATTTTTCAGTATTATTTATTTAAGAAATATACAAAAATATATTTCCTATCTAAGGGGGAGATAGGGATGGAAAATAAAAAGTATTTTCCTTATATTCCTGGAAAATTTTATTAAAGAAACTTCCCTCCATGGGAAAGTTGCCTAAACTTTGCTTATAATAGATATTATTTTTGAATTTTTTTTTGTGTCCCATATTAGACATTGATCTGTTGGCCGGTGTGACTGCCGATGAAGGACAGGGACTACTTAATGGGCTAATCAATCCAAATACTACCGTTACGGTGGATGTATTCAAAATGTATGTCCAACTATTGAATTCAGTGTTTCATAACATAGATGTCGAAACTATGAACGAGTTTTATTTGAAATCGATTAACCGAACCGATTCGCCGGCACTGAAACATCGGTTCGGCGATTTGGTTGGCGATCTGGTAATCAAATGTCCCACTTATTTGTTTGCCAAACAACTGGCCAAACAGCGGCGGCAGCCGGAAAACAATGTCTACTTCTATGAGCTGACCTATGCTAGCGATTTGTTTGAACGGCTAAAAAATTGCGATCCAGTAGTCGATGGCATATGCCATGAATCGGACATACCGTTTGTGTTTGGACTGCCTTATCTGTATCCGGAAGGCTATGAAAAGGAGGACTATTTTTTTAGCCGCTGGTCAATGAAATGGTGGACCGATTTTGTGAAAAATGGGTAATAATAATAATATAAAATAATAATAATATAAAATAATAATAATATAAAATAATAATAATATAAAATAATAATAATATAAAATAATAATAATATAAAATAATAATAATATAAAATAATAATAATATAAAATAATAATAATAATAATAATAATAATAATAATAATAATATATATACCTAAGCTTAATCTAACTTAACTTAAATTTTTTTTTTAAATTATTTAATATTTTTTTATATTTTAAATTTATAGTGTACTGGACAACGATTGGGCCCAAATGTTGGGTCCGGGCAATGTGACCAAGGTAAAAAATTGGAACCCCCTGGACTTGACTAAAATTATGCAACACGTGTTTGACGACACGTGCGACGGTGTTTGGCAATCATACTATTTATAGATATTTCAATACTTTACTTAAGTCAACAACAACAAAAACAAAATTATTCAAAAATTAACATTAATACTAATTTTTATTTTTATTTTTTGTAAGTCTATTAAAATATTTTATAATACAATGTATAATGTGTTACAGTACTTATTATTGTCGAATATTTAAAAAAAAAATAAAAATAATATTTCTCTGTATATTATAATCCTACTTTAATAAAAAAATAATAATCTTAAAATGTATATTCAAAGTTTTTTTGAATTAATATATATAATAATTTATTTTTAAAAATTTAATAGCTGTTATAGTTTTATAAATTAATCAATTAAACACTGTATAACAATATAATAGTTAATCAAATTATATAAATTATACATAATTTTTGTGTACAGTTTTATTAGTAGAAAAATTTTCATTTTTTTCTATATATATAAATATCATTATAACTTTCATTGTTAAACATTATGCAATAAATTATTAAATATTTTATAACTATTTTTTCTATAGAAAGTGACATTAAAAAAACTATATATTTATTTAATATATATATATTTTTTCCCCTAAATTATAATTAATTTATTGAAAGTCATTGACAATCTATAACAAAGTTTAAGTAAATGTCATATATATTGATAGATATCTACATACTTTTGTTTAAAAAAAATTACATCATTATTTTATCTAAAATGAAATTATTTATGATTTATAATTAGTCTAATTAATCAATTGAATAATTATATATGTATTATAGGAAATTTGTAATCATAATAATTTTTTTTTAAATATAAACTTGAATTAAATATAATATTTAATATAAAATCATTTTTATTCTGCAATTTTTAGGGAAAAGTTATTAATTATAATTAATGTAAAAAATATGTTTTATAATAATATATTTAGTTTATATTTACAGTATCATTACTATACAATTATATGGCATTGAAACACTATTTCAATTATAATTTCATAATTTTTATAATGATAAATAATTTTTTTTTTAAATGTATTGTAAATTGTAAATGTAAACTTTATATTATTTAACTTAACTAATGGAAATCAATGGAAACACATGGAAACAAATATATAATTAAAAAAAAAGTAATATTAAATCTAATTTTATTTATTAATAAAATTATTGTAGGTTAACTATTAAAAAATAATTATAATGATGATTTACAATATATTTTGAATTTATTTAATACTTTTTTTTGTTATTTAATACATATTTATTATAATGTTTAGTGTGTGTTATATTAGTATTTTATTAATTATTAAAATTTGCAACAATAGTATTAAAGTTATTATTAGTTACTTAGTTTATTAGTAACTATGATTTATTATTTATTATTATCACTACTATTACTACTACTACTATTAATTAATAGTAATGTCAGCGCCGTTGTTGACATTAATACAACATCGGGTGTCGTACGCGGACAGACCATTCATATACAGACTAAACTATTGGACGCTAAGATTGATCAATGGTTAGGCATACCATATGCCGAACCACCTGTCGGTGACCTAAGGTTTACATATCCGGTGCCATACAAACACAGTATAGTAAGATAACTGTAATATTATGTTTATAAAAAAATTTATTAAAAATTTTTTGTTGTTGTAATTAATATTATTAGGATGTGATCGACGCTACCAAAGCCATGAGCTCATGTATGCAAACATTTTCTGAAAGTTCACGCAATCTGTATGGAAACCTGACGTTCAGCGAGGACTGTCTGTTTGTTAACATATGGAGACAGACACCCCAAACATCACAAAAACATCAGGCGCTAAGTTATACTAACAGATCGTGTAATCTGAAACCGGTTATGTTTTGGATACACGGAGGCGGACTAAAATCTGGTTCAATATTTGGCAAAATATATAATGGTTCGGCACTGGCAGCACAGGGAGTAGTGATAGTATCAGTTAATTATCGATTGGGACCGTTAGGTTTTATGTTTGGTGACAGTGATCAGGCACCGGGTAATGTCGGTTTCTATGATCAACTGTTGGCCATGAAATGGGTCAATGATAACATACACCGGTTTGGTGGCGACAGAGATCGGGTAACAATTTTCGGACAGTCATCCGGCAGTTCATCAGTTATGCTGCACATACTGTCGCCGAAGTCAAAAGGATTGTTTCGCAGAGCTATTATGGAAAGCGGATCGTTTATGTACAACAAGGACAGGGATGTAGTCAGCAAACAGGAGTCGCTGCGAAAATCTCATGAATTAGCCGTTTTGTTCAATTGTTTAGATCCTAACCAATGGATACAGTGTTTGCGTCGGGTGTCGGCCCAGGAGTTGACAAATCTCAGTCCCATTTTGGACGCCTCACCTGTCTATGAAACACCATTCCTGCCAATGCGTGCACAGTTAGCTTTCAAGAAAAATCTATACAATTCAGGTATAGATTGGATAATATGATTATTTTTTCTAATATTATTTTTTTCCCAATAGATATCGATCTAATGGCCGGTATGAATGCCAACGAGGAAAGTGATCTAATTAAGCAATTGCTATCAAAAAACACTACCGTAACGGTCGGCGCGTTCAAACTGACCGTCCAACTACTGGACAATACCTATCATAATATTGATGTCAACAAGATATCCGAGTTTTATTTGAAAAATATTAACCAATCGGATTCGCGGACATTAGTCAATCGATTCGGTAATTTAGCGGCCGATTTGATGCTCAAGTGTCCGACTTATTTGTTTGCCAAACAACTGGCCAAACAGAAACTATTTCAGTTTAATTCAGTCTACTTTTATGAGCTAACATACAGTAGTCAATGGTTTGGCAAACTTATCGGTTGTGATCCCCGGGTAGACGGTGTATGCCATTCGTCGGATTTACCGTTTGTATGGGGACTACCCTTACTTGAACCGGTTGGCTATAGTCGACAGGACTACACTTTAGCACAATGGACACTGAAATGGTGGACTGATTTTGCTAAAACTGGGTATATATCATACAAACAAACAAATAAAATAATAATTTTTTATACATAACTACTATTACTACTACTAATACCAATAATACTAATTAATAATAATAATAATATTTTTTAAAAAAAAGTTTTATTTAATTAAATTAATATTATTTTATTAGTAAAATGGATAATAATTGGACAAAAATGTTAGCCGTCGGCAATACAGTGGCCAATGTTAAAGATTTGAATCCCATAAAGTTAAACAAAATTTTGACGCACGTGTTTGACAACACGTGCGATGGTGTTTGGAAATCATACTTTTTATAGTATTTTATTATTTGATTTATTATTATTATTATTGTTTATTACAATAGTAATTTTTTTATGTAATATAGTTTAACATAGTTATTATATTTTAACTATATAATTATACAATTATTTTATTTAATAATATAATATATTTATAAATATATTACTACATTAATATACTGTATATATTTTTTAATAAAATTGACAAAAGTTAGTAAAAATTACATTGTATTACACTATTATTATTATTATTATTATTATTATTATTATTATTATTATTATTATTATTATTATTTATAATTATGGAAATTACATTTATTTTATTTTTAGATTTTTAATACAATATATAAATTATTAATTAATTGTGATTTTTTTATTTAAAAAATAGTTAAAAGTTAAACAATTGATAATAAAATAGACAAATACTATTATATATATTATTACAATGTTATCAAATGTTTATTTTTTATTATTTAACTTTAATGATTAAATAAAGCTATTTCAATAAAAATATTCAATAGTTTTTTAAATTATTTATTATGAATCACTAACTTAAGTATTAGTATTATTAATAATATTAATAAAAAAGATATAATTATTATTATTATCTGTTACAACAGTTTTATTAGTATAGTTAACAATACAAAATTAATTAATATAATATTTTAGTACATTTTAATTGACTTTTGATTTATTTATTTTTTAAAAGTAAAGTATTTTGTAAATTATCTAAAAAGGTTTTATACTACTACTACTACTTTTATATTATATTAATATTTTTGATTAAATAATAAATAGATTAAACCAATTAAACAAAAATAATAATATTTTTTTTATAAAAAGATATCATATATTATATAAATACTGAAAAATATAACTCTTAAAAGTTATTAATAAAAGTTATTAAATATTAAAAGTAAATTATTATTTTTATTGACTATGAGTACTAATATTGGTATAAATAGTTTTGTATTGTTATCATCATTACTACTAGTAATTAGTAGTTATGTCAGTGCCGTTGTCGACATTAATACAACATCGGGTGTCGTACGCGGACAGACCATTCATATACAGACTAAACTATTGGACGCTAAGATAGATCAATGGTTAGGCATACCATATGCCGAACCACCTGTCGGTGACCTAAGGTTTACATATCCGGTGCCCTATAAATACAGAAAAGTAAGCTACCAGTGCTAGGGTGTGTGTGTGTGTAAGTGTGTGTGTGTATGTGTGTGTATGTGGTGTGTGTCTGCGTATATCTATATATGTGTATATTTGTCCGTGGCTCAATGGCGTAGTGAGCTAAGACGTCGGCTGTTTGCACTTGTTGCCTGAGAAACAACATAGAGGTACGACGTCCGGGGATCGATTCCCTGGTGAGCCACTGTTGTTTATTGCCATTTCAAATATTAAGTAACAGCTAGTTTGGGTACAAAGAATCGTCCCCTTACCAAGCTGACTTACTGTTTGTAGGTACTCCTCTAACTATGCTTATGAGTGCTATACGCATGCCATACCATATGCCGAACCACCTGTCGGTGACCTAAGATTTACATATCCGTTGCCAACTAAATACAGTACTGTAAGCTAACCGGTGTGTGTATGCGTATGTGTGTATGTATGTTTGTTTGTATGTATGTATGTATGTATGTATGTATGTATGTATGTATGTATGTATGTATGTATGTATGTATGTATGTATGTATGTATGTATGTATGTATGTATGTATGTATGTATGTATGTATGTATGTATGTATATATATATATATGTGTATGCATGTGTATGTATGTGTATGTATGTGTATGTGTGAATGTGTGCCGTTTTAAAAAACAATTTTTCATTATTATTATTATTGATATTTATTAGGATGTAATCGACGCTACCAAAGCCAAAAGCTCATGTATGCAACCATTTTCCGAAACTGAACGACACCTGTATGGAGATCTGACGCTTAGCGAGGACTGTCTGTTTATCAATATATGGAGACCAACATCGATACCACCGACAAACAAACAGGAGGCGGCCAGTAGAGATGATGATAACCTGAAACCGGTTATGTTTTGGATACACGGTGGCTCACTAAAAACGGGATCCATATTCGGAAAAATATACAACGGTTCGGCACTGGCAGCACAGGGAGTAGTGGTAGTATCGGTCAACTATCGGTTGGGACAGTTCGGGTTTCTGTTTGGCGACAGTGAACAGGCACCGGGTAATGTCGGTTTCTACGATCAACTATTAGGCATGAAATGGGTCAGAGATAATATTCAGCGGTTTGGTGGCGACAGAGATCGGGTAACAATTTTCGGACAGTCAGCGGGCAGTTGGTCAGTGATGGAGCACATACTGTCACCGAAGTCTAAAGGTTTGTTTCGACGGGCTATTATGCAAAGCGGTTCGTTGATGTACAACAAGGACAGGGATGTTGTCAGCAAACCGGAAGCACTGAAAGTCGCGCTTGAAATAGCCGTTTTGAACAAGTGTTTCGATCCAAACCAATGGATACAGTGTTTGCGTCGGGTGTCGGCCGACCAGTTGACCAAACTAACCGGCAGTCTGGCGGCATCGCCAGTCTATGATACACCATTCCTGCCAATGCGGGCACAGTTAGCTTTCGAGAAAAATCTGTACAATTCAGGTACGGATACAGAAAAAAAAACTTTTTTTTTTTGCATTGCTTTTAATTATTATTATTATTGTTATTACTTTCGGTAATCCAAATAGATATCGATCTGATGGCCGGTGTGACCGCCGGCGAAGGACACGAATTGGTTAAGCTATTGCTCGATAAAAACTCTACGGTAACTGTCGTCGGCTTCAAACTGGCCGTCCAACTACTCTCAAATATCTATCATAATATCGATGTCAACAAAATCAGTGATTTTTATTTGAAAAATATCAGTCCATGGGATTCGCCGGCAATGTTGAACCAATTTGGCAAACTGGCCGGCGATCTGATACTCAAGTGTCCCACTTATTTGTTTGCCAAACAACTGGCCGCCAAACATCTGAAACCTGAAACTAATGTCTACTTTTATGAGCTAACCTACGGTAGCCAATGGTTTGACCAACTAATCGGTTGTAATCCTAAAGTTGATGGCGTATGTCATTCATCAGATATACCGTTTGTATGGGGACTACCCCTACTCGATCCGGTCGGCTATACCCAGGATGACTATACTTTAGCTCAGTGGACACTGAAATGGTGGACCGATTTTGCTAAAACTGGGTAATCAATAATTTAATATTATTATTATATTACAAAACAATTATTATGTTATATAGTGTTATATATGTATAAATTTATTTAATTAATTATCTATATATACTGTATATATACTGTATAGTAAACTGGATAGTAATTGGGCTCAGATGTTGTCGGCCACCGAAACCAATGTAAAAGATTGGAATCCACGAAACATTACTAAAATGTTGGAACACGTGTTTGACGACACGTGCGACGGTGTTTGGAAATCATACTTTTTATAGGATTATATTTTATATACAGTTTTAATTGACAGTAAATTGTAATTGACTATAAAAATGATAATCTAATAAAAAAAATTATATATATAAATATATACATTATTAACTTTATAATTATTATCAATTACATAACTAGTAATATTAATTATTAGTATTTTTTTCATATAATGTAATTTATATAATTTAGCATTTATTTAGTTGCAAACTAATAAAATAAATATTTTTATTGAAATAACTTAAACAAAATAAAATCACATGATATTTGCATTAACAATTATAATACCTGTATATTTATTTTATTTATTATTTTAAAAATAGTATTCAGGTATATTATTAAAATTTGCTATCTTTATCTTATATTTTGATATATATATATATATATATAAATAATACTTAAAGTATACATTTTTAGCTAAAATTTAATATTTAAATGTAAATGTATATAAAGTTTACAATATACAGTTTAGTTAATCTTAATATTCAATTTATTTTAAAACATATAGTATATATCAAATAAATATATATATAAACTATATAAATACTTTTCAAATAAATTAAAACAAAAAATTATTGTGTTATATTAGTATTTTATTAAAGTTATTAAAATATCAATTTGCAATAATAGTATAAATTATTAGTATTAGTTAAGTTAGTAATTATTAACTATGATTTATTTATTATTACTACTACTAATAATAATTAGTAGTTATGTCAGCGCCGTTGTTGATATTAATACAACATCGGGTGTAGTACGCGGACAGACCATTCATATACAGACTAAACTATTGGACGCTAAGATCGATCAATGGTTAGGCATACCATATGCCGAACCACCTGTCGGTGACCTAAGGTTTACATATCCGGTGCCATACAAACACACTAAAGTAAGTTTATTAAGTGCTATATAAATATTAAATAATAATATACTGTAATTATTATTATTATATAATTTATTATTTATTAGGATATCATCGACGCTACCAAAGCCAAGAGCTCATGTATGCAATCATTTACAGACAATGATCGCCTACAGTATGGAAACCTGACATTCAGTGAGGACTGTCTGTTCATGAATATATGGAGACAGACACCACCATCACCGACAACAAAACTCAACAATCATATCAGTCATATGAAACCGGTTATGTTTTGGATACACGGAGGTTCACTAGTATCTGGATCTATATTTACCGATCTGTACAACGGTTCGGCACTGGCAGCCCAGGGAGTAGTGGTAGTATCGGTCAACTATCGGCTGGGACAGTTTGGATTTATGTACGGCGCCAGTGATGAGGCACCGGGTAATGTCGGTTTCTACGATCAACAGTTGGGACTGAAATGGGTCAGAGATAATATACACCGGTTTGGCGGCGATAGAGATCGGGTAACAATTTTCGGACAGTCGGCCGGCAGTTGGTCAGTAATGTCGCACATACTGTCGCCACTGTCCAGTGGACTATTTCGGCGGGCTATTATGGAAAGCGGTTCATGGATGTACAACAAGGACAGGGATGTAGTCAGCAAACAGGAATCGCTGAAAGTGTCCCGCGATATAGCCGTATCGTTTGGCTGCCGACTGTTCATCAATTGGATACAGTGTTTGCGTCGGGTATCGGCCGACCAGCTGGCAAAACTGACCGGCGATTTGCCAGCATCACCAGTCTATGGTACACCCATACTACCAATGCGAGCACAGTTAGCTTTTAAGAGGAAGTTTTATAATACAGGTACTGGTTTTGATTAAAAACAAAAAAATTTTAGTTGAAATAATTATTATGATTTTTTTCGGGGGTTGGGTCTCGGTCTGGACATAGATATCGATCTGTTAGCCGGTGTAGCAGCCAATGAGGGCAACGAATTAGTTAAACTGTTTCTACAGCTAAACATTCCCGTCTGTGTTGACTCATTCAAACTGGCCGTCCGATTGTTGGACGGTATCTATCATAATATCGATGTCGACAAAGTTACCGGATTTTACTTGAAAAATATCAATCCATGGGATTCGCGTACAATATTGAACCGATTCGGCGATATGGCCGGCGATTTGATACTGAAATGTCCCACTTATTTGTTTGCCAAACTAGTGGCCAAACATCGGAAATCGGTAAACAATGTCTACTTCTATGAGCTAACCTATGCTAGCGATTGGTTTGGTAGACGTATTGGTTGCGATCCGAAAATAGACGGTATATGCCATTCATCGGACATACCGTTTGTATGGGGTCTGCCCTTTATCTATCCGTTTGGCTATACCCAGGATGACTATACTTTAGCTCAGTGGACACTGAAATGGTGGACCGATTTTGCCAAAACTGGGTAATCAATAATAATAATTAATTAAATTATTATAATTAAATAACAATAATTATAATAATTAGATAATAATATTTATGATAATTAGATTATAATAAGTATAATAATTAAATAATAATAAGTAAAATAATTAAATATTAATAATAACTTTATATTATACACACTTAATAGTAGTATTATCTACCATAACCTATATATAAATAAATATATATTTATGACAATATTTTTAAATATATTTTATTTTGATTTATTTTTTTTTAAATCTAGTCAACTGGACAGCGATTGGGCTCAGATGTTGTCGGCCACCGAAACCAATGTAAAAGATTTGAATCCCCGAAACATGACTAAAATTATGCAACACGTGTTTGACGACACGTGCGATGGTGTTTGGCAATCATACTTTGTATAGTAATGTAGATTTACTGAATATAATAAATACTAAATAACTTTTTTTTAATTTTTAATAAATATATTTATACATTTTTATACAGTAATACAATTTACAGTTTTTAATAAAATAAATATATAATTATATTATATAATGTAAATAATAAAGTAAAAAATAATTATCAACTTAAAGTATTATTATTATTATTACATTATTATTATTAGTAGTAGTAGTAGTAGTTATCAATAAAACATATTGATTAAATAAAGCTATTTCAATAAAATAAAATAGTTTTAACTCTAGAGGTAGAAACTGTAGCCAATTTTTGAAACCCGCAACCAAACCATTATTTATTTAAATTATTAATTAAATAAAAAAAATATTGTTTTGTATGTACATTTTAGTACAGGGTACATTTATTTTTAATTTTTTATATTTATATTTACTATATTATTAAATTATTTATTATATATAATACAGTACAGTAAATAATAGTATATTTAAAAATTTAGTAATATTTTTTAGTAAAGCAGTATTTTATTAAATTAATTAATAATTATTATTTTAAGTTTAAAAAAACCCGTTTCTAAAACTGAACCGTCAATAAAACCGTTCCCGTATTTAGACGGTTACCCGAACCCCGAACCGTTTCGGTTCCAAACATTTAATATGAACTATTTTTATTTATAATAAGTTGCACTTAAATTATTTTGATTAATATACTGTATATATATATATAATATTTACTAAATTGTGTTAAAGTTTGTAATTTTTTTTTAAAAATAAATAATGTTATTAAACGTTATATTTATGTTATGATTAACATACATATACCCTATTATAGTATAACAGTGTTAGTTAGATAAATATTTTTACAACTAATTATTGACATAGATAAGTTTAAATAAAAAAAATACTGAAAGTTTATTTTCATTATCTATAAATAACTTTATTTAATTTCAATTATATATTGATTCGTATTTTAAACGATATTTGAAATAATGAAAATATAAAAAATTTTATATAAATACTTCATATAAATAAAAAATTTTATTAATTAATTAGAAAAATATGTTTAATTTCAATTTATTATTATCATTACTAGTAGTAGTGATTAGTAGTAGTAATAATGTCAACGCTGTTGATATTAATACAACATCGGGTGTCGTACGCGGACAGACCATTCATATACAGACTAAACTATTGGACGCTAAGATAGATCAATGGTTAGGCATACCATATGCCGAACCACCTGTCGGTGACCTAAGGTTTACATATCCGGTGCCTTACAAACCAAGTAAAGTAAGTTAACACCGGGTGCTATTGTTTTGAAAACTTTGTGTTAAGTTTTTTATATTAAAAAAATACTGTATATTATATTATTTAGGATGTGATCGACGCTACCAAAGCCAAGGACTCGTGTATGCAAACACTATCAGATGTTGACCGCCGTCTATATGGAAACCTGACGCTCAGTGAGGACTGTCTATTCATCAATATATGGAGACAGACACCGCCATCACTTCCACCGACAACAACACATGTGGACAGTTATGATAGCTTGAAACCAGTAATGTTTTGGATATTTGGAGGCGGATTTAGAGGTGGATCAATATTTGCCAAAGTATATAATGGTTCGGCACTGGCAGCACAGGGAGTAGTGGTAGTGTCGGTCAACTATCGGTTGGGACAGTTCGGGTTTATGTACGGTGGGAGTGATGAGGCACCGGGCAATCTCGGTCTATACGATCAACTGTTGGGTCTCCAATGGGTCAGAGATAACATACACAGGTTTGGTGGCGACAAAAATCAGGTAACAATTTTTGGACAGTCAGCCGGCAGTTGGTCAGTAATGTTGCACATACTGTCACCGCTGTCCAAAGGTTTGTTCCGCAGAGCTATTATGGAAAGCGGATCGTTGATGTTGAATAAGGACAGGGATGTGCTCAGTAAAGCGGAGGCACTAAAATCGGCCCATGAAATGGCTGTCCAACTAAATTGTTCAGCCGATGACGACAAATGGCTAAAGTGTTTGCGCGGAGTGTCCGCTCAGGAGTTGGTCAAACAAAACGGTTTGGTAATACTACCGGTATTTGACAGTCCATTTCTGCCATTGCGGGCACAGTTAGCTTTCGAGAAAAATCTATACAATTCAGGTAAAAAAGGGTTTCAAAGTCAAACATTTTTATTGATATTTTTTTTGTTGATAATAAATACCTTTAAATTTATATCGGGTTTATAGATATCGATCTGTTGGCCGGTATAACCGCCAATGAGGGACATCTATTGAAACAAATTTTTTTAAAACAAAATTCAACCGTAACTGTTGAGTCATTCAAACAGGCTGTCCAACAACTCGACAGTATCTATCATAATATGGATGTCAACAAACTAATCGAGTTTTACTTGAAAAATGTCAATCAATCGGATTCGCGTGAAATCAAGAACCGTTTCGGCGAATTGGCCGGCGATCTGGCCCTGAAATGTTCGACCTATTTGTTTGCCAAACAACTGGCCAAACAGCGGCAACCAACTAAACAAAATGTCTACTTCTATGAGCTGACCTATGGTTCCGATTATTTTGGTAGACTAAGTGATTGTAATCCGATATTGGACGGCGTATGCCATGGCGAGGACATACCGTTTGTGTTTGGACTGCCCTATCTGTATCCGGATGGTTATAGTCAGGTGGACATCAATTTTACTCAGTGGACATTGAAATGGTGGACCGATTTTGCTAAAACTGGGTATAAAAATTTAAATAAATAATAATTAAAAATATTAAATAATTATACCTAAGCTTAAACTAAGTTTACTTATATTAATGTATATTATTTTTAGATATTTTAAATATAACCTAAAAATAATAATATCATATTAACTAATTATAAATACCTACATACATAAGCTTATGATATACACTGTTTATACTGTATTTAGTATATTATATTAATATAGTAGTAGTAGTAGTATAACCTACCATAACCTATGGTATAGTGTATATAACATTAGATTAATTTAGTAAATAGTTTTTATAGTAATTGTAAATTATAATTTTTTTTTTAAATAAAATAGTAAAATAATTTTTATTTTATTTTTTATATCTAGTAAATTAGATAGTAATTGGGCTCAAATGGTATCATCCGATAATGTGATCAAGGTAAAAGATTGGAACCCCAGAAACCAGTCCAAAATTATTCAACACGTGTTTGACGACACGTGCGATGGCATATGGAAATCATATTATTTATAAATTTTATTGTTTTTAAATGCATATTAAATAATAAAATATATATATATATATTAAAAAATTTAATTAAAGCAAAATTAGTAGCATTTATTTATTTTTTTCTAAAATAAAAATAATAATTAATATTATATATTATATAAATATTGGTAATAAAAATTTTTGATTTTATCATTAACTTTATCTATGAATTAAAATTAATAATAAACTCATTATTATTTTTCTATAAGGTTTAAAGTATACTTTAGTTTATATTAATTTTGATGATTATTATTTATTTTCCTATTGATTTCAATTGTTATAATTTACCTGTACTTACTTATCACTACACAATATGTAGTATAATATTATTTTGTTATATATTTACTTTATGTTATTTACTCAGTATGTTATGTAACCTATTATTAAGTATTATAAATAAATATATATATACATATAAAGCATTATTATCTAATTTTATAATAATTATATAATATATATTATATTTAAAATTATTTTTTAACTTTCTCATTATTATAGTATTATAAAAAAATAATTGTATAATAAAGTCAGTTTGTTATGCAAATAGATAATTATAAAAAAGTTAATAAAATAAGTAAATAAAATAATATTAATAAAATATCACTTTTTTTATTTTAATAGTATTGTTTAATATTAATCAAAATTATTTGTACATTATATAAGTTAAATATGTATAAATATATACTAAATAGTTTACTAATTTATAATATAGTGATTTTCATTATTTTTAAAAACTGTCCAAAATTATGCAACACGTGTTTGTTTGCAAACACGTGCGATAGGGTATGGAAATCAGATTTTATTTTGTATAAATTTACACAAAAAAAATAAGTTTAAAAATATTTATTAATACTAAATCTTAATTTCAAAAAAAAAATCATTTAGTTTGTTTTTGTCAAGTAAATAATTTATTATATTTTTATAACTAATATTTTGTAATTTAATAAAATAATCATAATTTATTTGATATTATTTTATTTAAGGGTTACTATTGTATATAAAAAAAATAATATTCAACTAATTTTAAAATATTATAATTGTTACAATATGTTATATATTGAACATGTTTTACACTATATTAGTAAAAAATAATAGTAATTATTATGAAATTTTTTATTTAATTATGAATTTTTATTTTCAGCAGTTTGTTATAATTATAAGTATATATATATAACCAGGTGTTATACAATATAATAATTATATATTAGATATAAACTAAGTAATAATAATATACAATTCATCCACTATTTTAAATTTTAAACATCTATAACATTGAAAAGTTAAAAACATATATTAATTAATATTATTAAATTATTTTATTCATAATTAATTAACTTATTTAATCTAAATAATCATATTTTTAATTAAATAATTTATTCAATTAATCAATTAAATTTATAAGATATGAATTTTAATCCAAAAAATAAATAAATAAATTATTATTTATTGTAATATATTATTATTTTTTTTATAAATAAATATGTTTTGTATATATTGTTTATATTCATTATCATTACTACTACTACTACTACTTGTAGTAATTAGTAATAGTCATACTGTAAGTATTGTTGATATTAATACAACATCGGGTGTAGTACGCGGACAGACCATTCATATACAGACTAAACTATTGGACGCTAAGATTGATCAATGGTTAGGCATACCATATGCCGAACCACCTGTCGCTGACCTAAGGTTTACATATCCGGTGCCATACAAACACAGTATAGTAAGCTAACCAGTGCTTGGGGTGTAGAAACTGTTGTAATTAGTTATTTATTATTTAGGATGTGATCGACGCTACCAAAGCCAAGGGCTCATGTATGCAAACACTAACAGACGTTGAGCGCCGTATGTATGGAAACCTGACGTTCAGCGAGGACTGTCTGTTCATCAATATATGGAGACAGACACCACCGACAACAAAACATAGGTACAGTCATAGCAGTCTGAAACCGGTCATGTTTTGGATACATGGAGGGGGACTAACATCGGGATCTATATTTGCCAAGATATACAATGGTTCGGCACTGGCAGCACAGGGAGTAGTGGTAGTGTCGGTCAACTATCGGTTGGGACAGTTCGGGTTTATGTACGGCGCCAGTGATGAGGCACCGGGTAATGTCGGTCTATACGATCAACTGTTGGGTCTCAAATGGGTTAGAGATAACATCCATAGGTTCGGCGGCGATAGAGATCGGGTAACAATTTTCGGACAGTCGGCCGGCAGTGTATCAGTTATGGCGCACATACTGTCGCCACTGTCCAAAGGGTTGTTCCAGAGGGCTATTATGCAAAGCGGATCTGTGATGTTGTTTAAGGACAGTAATGTAATCAGCAAACCGGATGCACTCAAAGTTGCCCGTCTATTGGCAGTTAAGCTAAATTGTTCAGACGATCATCAATGGATAAAGTGTTTGCGTCGAGTCCAGGCCCAGGAGTTGACAAAACTAAACGGTTGGCTACCGTTACCGATATTTGATAGTCCATTGTTGCCTATGCGGGCACAGTTAGCTATTGAAAAAAATCTATACAATTCAGGTAACGGCCTGAACGGCTGAACCATTGATACAATACTACTATTATATATATATATATATTTGTTGATCGGTTATATAGATATTGATCTAATGGCCGGTGTGGTGGCCGACGAAGGAGACGAAACGGTCAAAAAATTATTACCTAATAAATCAAGTATTACCGTAACTGTAGGCGCATTCAAACTTGCCGTTCAACTACTGGATGTCTATCACGGTATTGATATCGACAAAGTATTGGACTATTACTTGAAAAATGTCAATCAATCGGATTCCCGGGCATTAGTTCAACGGTTTAGCGATTTAGCCGGCGATTTCACTATTAAGTGTCCGACCTATTTGTTTGCCAAACAACTGGCCAAACACAACAGCGGCAGCAAACAGGAGGCCAACAACAACAACAATATCTACTTTTATGAGCTGACCTACGGTTCCTCCTATTATAATAGACTAAACGATTGCGATCCTCTAGTGGACGGTGTATGCCATTCAGCTGATATACCGTTTGTGTTTGGACTGCCCTATCTCGACCCGGTTGGCTATAGCCAGGAGGACTACTTACTAACACAATGGACAGTCAAATGGTGGACCGATTTTGCCAAAATTGGGTATAAAAAATTAAAAATAAAAACATTATACCTAAGCTTTAAACTAACTTTACTTATATATTACTGTATATTATTTTTTAGATATTTTTATTAATTTGATTTTTTTTGTTTATTAAAAATTTTTCTATCAGTGTAATGGATAACTATTGGGCTGATATGTTATCGTGCAATGTGACCAGGGTTAAAAATTTGAATCCCCATAATATGACTCAAATCATGCGACACGTGTTTGACGACACGTGCGATGGTGTGTGGAAATCATACTTTTTATAGTAATTTTTTGTTATTAAAAAAATGCTTAACTCACCTATTTTTTAACAAATTTATTTAATTTATTATAAATAAATACTTTTTTTTTATTTATTTAGTTTTTTTGTTATTAAATAGTAAAATAATATATTTATTTATAACAAAATAGAGATTAAAAAAAATATTTTTTTTGTTGTTTTTGTTGAATATAATTACAGTAAATTATATGATATTTATAAATAACTTATAATTTATATTATATACTGTATATATATTTTTTGATTTTATAGAGTAAATAAAAAATAAATATTACAATTAATTTTGTATATTATATTAAACATAATAATATTCAATAATTTATTTAATTAAAACTTTCTTATTATGTATTATTAAAAAAAATTATATTACTTTTTTTATAATTGTTTAATAAAGGCGTTTTATTATGCAAATATAGATAATGAAATTTAGTTAATAATATAACAAATATTATTAAAATAATTATATATATATATTTTTTGTTATTTTAATAGTATTACTTAATAGTATTAATCAATATATAAAGTATTTATAGCATTGTATAAGTTAAGTATGTATGAGACTACAGTATAGTGTACTAATATATATTGATTTTTATTATTATATAATCCCATTTTTTTGCTATAATAAACTATATATATATATAATCAAAAAATTATTGCTAGTAATAAATTTTTAGCCCAATTTATTAACTAATAAAATAATACTATTGATAATAATAATAATACAAAAGTGTTAATGTTATATAATATTCATATACAGTACTTAACTTATTATTGAGCTATTACTGCAGTTTTATTATAACTTTTCAAATAATGTTTTTTATTAATTAAGTTAAGTTAAGTGAAAGTCAAGTTTGAAATTAATTAGAAATATTTTATACAATATATATATATATATATATATATATATATATACTGTATTTAAAGGATATAAACTTTATATTATAAGCTATTGTGATTCAAATAACAAAAATACTAACTAAATATTATTTAGTTGTAATTTGAAGTTTATATTATTATTATTAATTTTAAACATAATCAGTGCATACATAAGCTTTAACTAAAAAATTAAGTATTAAAAAACAAGTATATTAACTATTAATTAATAAATAAACTAAACTAAATAAAATTATGACATACCGTGGCCTGAAAATAATTGTCAACTATTTCCGATTGACGGGAAACCTGTATTTTGGTCACAGTTTTAGCGACAGCAGCCGCAGCAGCTCCGGGTGTAGTGGTGGTGGTGGCGGTGGCAGTGGCAGTGGCCGTAAACCTCATCATCTACTCTGGCGTCTAATGCTATTCATCCTGAACTTCGCGTATGTACTGACCATCAGTGTCCAACATATCGGTCATCTACGCGAGGACATCGAACGTCCAACGAGTGAACTGTTTGAAACTAACGGCACCTGTCGTCTGGTATACGTACTCTACATAACCGGTCGGGTATCCTATTCGGTACAGACATTGTTGATTTGTTTGCACCTATGGCTCCGGGGTGAACGTATACTCCGGTTGTTACAATCGCACGAACATCACTATATAGGTGACAAACAAGAGCGACGTACCGGTGCTTTGGTTACACTGTTAGCGTTCGGTATGTCCGCCTCGACACAACTGGTCTACGATTTATCCGATTATTTGCACTATTTTCGTAAAAATTCATTCAATTTCTATACATTTATTGTAACGCCTGTACTGTATTTTATGTCATTCAATGCCCAATTGATTATCATTGCACTGTTAGCCTACAAAAGTCGACTAATTAGCCAACAGTTTCGCTATTTGCGATCAAATGTCGAGCACTTGCATATCGGTAATGTCTATACGTTTTGTGTCGATATTTGTCTATTTGTTAAACGCTTTGATCGGCTAATCTCACAGTATTTGCTAACTGTTTTGCTAATCAATAGCGTACGCTGTGTGTCGGCACTGTGTGTCCTATTTTTAGGTAACTCAGCCATCAAACTGTATATATATGCCTCACTGGTTGAAACGGTTACCGTATTGATGACATTGACATTTATATGCGATATAATACCCAACAGTTATCGTGAGTTTGTATTTGATTTGCAAATTAAATACCGAAGCAAAGGTATGATGACTACTACTACTACTAGTAATACTACAGTAGTTGCAGTCAATGGTGCAGTTATGACACAGTCATCATCATCATCACCGGCCAGTGGTTATCAGACATCCGCTGCCATCGACAATACAAACCTAATACTATTGATGAAAGCCATGACCCGTGATATGTGTTTTACGGCATTTAATTTGTATGCAATCAATAGGCAAACATTGATAACATGTTTATCATTGATACTATCCTATGCTGTAATACTTATACAAACTAATAATAGTAATTATATTAATAATAATAATAATGGTTAATGATTTAGTATTGATATTTATTTTTAAGTTATAACTATAATAACCTATTGTGTTAATTAAAATATCTATATATTACATTATTTATTTAGTAATGTACAATTTTAAATATTTAATGTATTTTTTATAAAAAAAAATAATACATTAATTTTTAAACTAATTATATAATTTTTGTTTTGTGTCTTTAATTATATTAACATTTAAAATAAAATTATGTCTATAAAAAAATAAAGTCAAAATTTATTTATTTTGAAAAAAATTCTAATTAAATACAGTACATATCTGTATTAAAATATAGATATTTTTAAAAAAAAATATTTATTGTTAAAATTAAAAAATAATTAAAAAATTTTAATTAAAAAATAATTACAACAATACTGTATATGCATACGACATATACATCCGTATCATAAGTGCTAACAGATATAGAGGACAAGGAGGAAAGTTGTTTATAAATCCATTGCACCCACATATACTATATATGATAGCACACATACCTTACTTATACAAACATCAGGTGCACGCCAGGGACAGACAGATAGACACAGCCGACCGATCGATCGGACACTATGGCAAACAATGATAATAATAATAATAATACTGCCCAACAATTGGCTGAAATACGCCTACGGCTGACCGAACTCCAGAGTATAATACATGGACCTAACCAGCCGGTCAGCGATGACCAGCTTCGGGATGTAGAGACCGGGTTGTCGGAACTGGAACATCGATTGCGCTACGAAATCCTACCGACCAGACGCTGGGAATGGGATTGGCTGGCGATTGAAGTGGAAAAACTGAAACGACAGGTACACTATAGACTCGAGGGTATGTCCGATGAGGATGTATTTGTTGCCGATATGCAAGAAGCTGTTAAATTGGCCGATTTTGCCGACTCGATGTTTACCGAAATCATCAGTCAGGAGATACCGCCCGATGATGTCATTGATATAACACAGTTTCGTACACAATTGGCTCATGTTACATGGTTAGAGGACCAGGAGGGGGAGGACCAGGAGCAGGAGCAGCAGCTGCAGTTGAGGGAAGCACCGGTAGATGTTTGGCCAGTAGATTATTCGTTCAGACAGATTGAACAAAATCCAGGACACCCGCCCACCCAGGACGAATGGTTTAGCTGGTTGCAGGTGCCCACTGACCCGAATCAACCGCCCAGTCCCTATTCGGTTGGCCAACACAATCTGATACTATGGTTCAGGCGTTTAGGTGGTCCACCACTACAGGCGGTCGACCCGGTAAACGGTGAGTTAGATTACCGACAAACCAGATTCAGTGTCTATACTAATATACAATTGCTACCAAGGCGCTGGATGCTACCATGGGATAACAATGCCCAGTGCCAGGCACCGGTATGGTTTCAGGGACCACGCGTTCATGTAATGACCCAAACACTGTACGACCGTCTGGATCCGGCTATCGATACGTTGGACGAGTTTATTCAGCAACAGTACAACGATTTGAATCTAGCGCTGGGTATTGTCGATCTGAATTGGCGTCGATTTAGGCAAACATTTACCGACCGTCCCCTACTTGACCATCACCGACAACAGTATCAGCAGGTTATGGATCATTTGTTGCGGATCAGGGATCGTATACGCGATGAAGGCCGTGAAGCTATTGCCGATATTGAAGACCGATTGGTTATGTTTACGACACCGGGCGGCGGCGGTCTAATCATTGGAAGTTAGCCCACCCCAGCCATCCAGGAAAGTGAGGA